TCTACACTGAGTTTTGGTAACTTCAGGTTTCAAAGCCAGCAGATTTAAAATATAAAGCAAGCTTTGTTTCTTCAAGGTAAAACACCAGTCCCCAGTCACTCAGGAAACAATCTCAACAAACATCTAATAAATTATAAGTGCAATGTCAGATATGGAATAAGAAACGAAAATAGCTGTATGTAAATAAGATTGCATTCTAACAGCTTTAGCAAAATTCCAAGTTTATTTCACTACAAAAAAACCCCAAAAACCAAACAAACCAACACACAAGCATGCTCTGGAGAGTCACTTCCAGATCTCCTCAAAAATCCCACTGATACTGTTTTGGAAGACATTTTATAGCAACTGTGGACATAACCAAACCAAGTACTTGCACTTTTTAAGTGCTAACTCCTGGTCACGCATTATTCACAGAAATGTTGGCATTTGAGCATTAAAGGTACCCGGTTAAAACTGATTTGTTTAAGACTGTCCATAAAACGCAGAACTAGTAACTGGCTATGTCCAAACTAACGAGTTAAGCACATATTTTGGTGTGAGAGTTAATGTCTTTCTGTCATTAAATCTAACAACTGAAACAAGATTTCTAGTGAAGATCAATGTCAATTCTCTGGTAGAGATAAGGTCTTAAACTACAGCAACATCATGTGTCAAAAGCAGTTTTAATACTTTTTGTCCATACTGCATACAGAGGACGACAGACATTTGGATTAACTCCGAGAGAGACTCCCAAATTATTCTATTTGTTTTACTTTTCTAGGATGTCTTTTTCCACCTCTGAAATGATAAGCATAAGGGCTGAAAGCACTACTTCATTCATCCCACCTAATCACCTTATAAAAAAATACACAAATGGATCTAAAGCCAATCAAATTTACAGTCAGATCTTCTTTTGCAATCAAAGTCAGACTAGTTGTTTTGATTAACAAAAAAATAAGTTACAGCCTGTTTTAAAAAAATAATTGCTATGTAAGAAGTCAACAAAATCATGAGCAGTTTTTAGGAGAAATGTAGAAATAAGATCAACTTCAACAAAGTATTCTGTTCAGCTCATGTCAAAGAAGCATTAAATACTGCAGCTACACCTCCTAATACTACAAAACTGCTTCTAACATAGCACATACATCATCTTTGTAACAGTATTCAAATACTTTTGCAGTTAATTATTCTATAAAGGTTACTTTTCTATCCATGGCAGCATTGCGTAAAAGGCAAGCTACAACCACATTTGAGGGCCCCTTCTAAAATGCAAAATATTACATGGTTCAAACCTGTATTTAAAACACATTCTGATATTGATAATTATAAATTCATAACTATAAAACCCCCTCATAATTCATTCACTTGAATTCTTTGCCTAGAAAGTTAAAGCAGTAATACGCACTGTGTTTTGTGACCGCTGGCTTTCACAATACCCAGTGCAGTGCAGGAAGTAAACAGCAGGGAAATCCAGGGCAGTCACTGTGTTACCTCACAGCTCACAGCCTACAAGATCCTGTCTCGGGCTGCACTACGACTCTTCTCTTTTGCTGTTACCTACTGTGACAGTCCAACATCAAACACTCACAAGTACCTAAAATACAAGCGCTGGCAGAGCAGACAACTCCAGCACTCAAGTGACTGGAAAGTCTAGGAAGTTTGAAGAGCCAATGAATATTAAGAGTGACATTGTGTGTTGCTATCTGGTGCCAGTCACACCACAAACACAAGTTCTTCAAAACCCAGTATACTGCTGAGGAAGATGATGCTGGATGGCACTAACTGTGCTAGTCATTTCCTGTCAATGGATAAAACTGTATATTCTGTATTCACACCACACATGCAAGTGTAAGGTTAACTCTTGCATAAGTTTATGTCACTGTAAGGCTTTCATGAGCAAGGATTTACTGTGGCTGACGGTGCTGCTGCTAATGGTTAAAATATAGTGAAGCAAGAAATGTGGGTGGCCTCAAACCAGATGCCAGATAATGCATTTGATAATCACACAGGTCCTTGTGACGGGCTGGAGAATTAACTACATTTTTCCTTGAAAGCGAAATGAGCTGAGAGAGTGCTCTAAAAATTGTCTGCTTTTACCATCTAGACCAGAGTTTTTCCAGTCAATGGAAACTTCATCTCACTGCCATGACTTCTGAAATAGGATGGATAGCGGCCTAGACACTTCAACTGCCAGTTGCCTCAGGACCCGTGGATGCATCTTGTCTGTCCCATTGACTTGAAGACTGCCATGTTCCTTACATGGTC